ATTCTAGGTTTATAGTCAAATACATGGTTGTTTGAATGATTCATGGGACTCCAAATGCTGCAGTTGGTAAAATCCGTTGTTCTATGTCGAATTCTTTTATGACATTTGCCCATTGTTCCAGAGAAATGAAGACGAGCTGAAAAGGTTGGAACGTTTCGTGAATTACATGAATGGACAAGATAAAAATGGACGAATATTCTTTACTGCGGAAGCGGAAGTTAAACATCTTCTATCCTGCTTGGATGTGCTGGTGAAGAGGAAGCAAACATTTGTATTTGACGTTTCCATATATTGGAAGCCAACACGCTTAAACCGATACCTACATCCGGCATCATGTGTCTTTCCTGGGTAACTTAGGAACGTAATGAAGAACATGCTTTTGCGAGACCAAGACATCTGCACTAACACTTAGGGCCTAAATGCGGAAATTCAACGTCTTCTCCTAGCGTTTCTAAAGAACCGTTTCCGGAGGAGGATTCTTGACAATAAACCTTTGCACCACAGCTCAAATTTAGAGGTCATATAGACCTATCGTAATTTTACCGTTCATGCTCCAGGTACCTCAATGTACCACGAGGTACCGTAATACCATTTGGTTTTGGGTTTGCTACAAAACTGGTAGAACATTGGGTGACATTTTACATGAAAAGTACGTGCCCATTAATAAACCAGAAGATGCGTTAAATGTTGTCTACAAAGTTCATTGCAGAGACTGCGACAAGGTGTACATCGAAAAGACCAATCGGAAATCATCGTAATAAAAGAAACACCTTGCTGCGGTCCGCCTTGGACAGTCCGACAATTCTAGTATTGCCGAGCATGTTACTACTGATAGGCGTTTTTAGTCAGACCAAATCAGTCAGATCTTTGTCTATCAAACTTAAGTCTGTTGATAGAGAGTCCTTGCATTTACTCTCAATGAAATAGCGGATGTGCAACGAGCGCACATTTTCATTTGTCATCAGTGAAAGCTGGGGCGCAATCACAAAGTTGTCAAGTAAATTCGGTCGAAATGACAAAGATCCGTTTCGTTTTAATATAGACATTATACATTGTTCGGGCACTGTAACAGCGTCTTCACTCTATGTGATGAGCCAATTGAAAAATTGGCATTGATCGCTTGTTGGATATAAATTTCTTCAAGCAGTCAATTGTAATAGGTGCAGGCCTGATGATGGTGTGGTCTTTGCAGTGAAGCTCATTGGCTGTAAACGGTTTTACAATCTACTGCATCTGGTGCCCCCAAATCATGGACCATTCAAACAATCACTATTACATCCAAGTTCAGGATTTTCTTCAAGAAGAGAAGAAAGCAGCGTTCAAGAAATGGCTTGGAAACAAACAGCCTTCTACTCGTATGCGATATGTCGAGGAACGCAAGGAGGTAGTCATGACAATGGCAAAAAACAAAGCTGACTCCTGGGAGAAGTTCGGTGAGGTGTTGGACTCTAATTTCAACACGGCAAAGAAAGTGTTCTGGCACACCATCCGCCGGCTCTGAGGTGAAAAGAAGCGCAGTCTCAGAGTCTTGAAGGACAGACCTGGACACCGTCTTACCAAGTATGATGACATTCTTCGGCGATGGAGGGAGTACTATGAGGAACTCCTAAAACCTGCGCAACTGTAGGAAGACTCGCCTGTAGAGCAGGAGGGTACGGTTACTACTATCTCTGTAGATCAACTTACACAAGCTGTGAAAAGCTTGAAAAATGGAAAAGCTGCTGGAATTTACGAAATCCGCCCCGAGATGCTCAAGAGATTAGGCGAACAAGGCAGGTGCTGGCTAACACGTGTCTGTGAAACTGCGATGACTGCGGGAAAGGCATCAGCGGACTGGAGAACGGGAGTTATTGTACCCGCATTCAGGAAGGGAAACCACAAGGAATGCTACGATTATAGGGGCATAACGTTATTGAACCTTCCAGGTAAAGTCTACGCAAAGGTATTAGAAAGGAGGTGCCGTGAAATAGTTGAACTCAAGATCCAAGAAGAGCAGTGTGGCTTCCGGCCCGGTCCAAGCACCTCTGACCATGTATCTGCCCTGTGCCAGACTGTTAAGAAATCATGGGAGTGCGCCCATTCGGCGTACATGTGTTTTGTGGACCTAAAGAAAGCCTACGACCGGATCCTACGCAACAGTCTGCGGACCTGCCTTCGTGCATGCGGGATAGATGGCCAGCTGCTAAGGGTTATGCACACACTGTATCCTGATAGCATGTGCTGCGTCAGAGTTAATGGCGTTAAGTCAAAACCATTCAACGTTTGCACTGGTCTCTGCCAAGGTTGCGTCCTGTCCCCTATCCTGTTTTTGTTGTACGTGGATAGAATAGGCAGG